CTGTAAATATAAACTCATATAAACTGACTGCTAAAAGCCAGACATGGTCTATATTCATTTAATGCAGGGGGCAGACTGATATTTTGGCTGAGCGTTCTTCACTGTTGACACTGGGTCAAATCACCACTTTGCTTGACAGTAAAAGCCCAGACATCATTCTGTCCATACTTGAGCGCTGTTTCTTTGTGAATCTGTGCTTTTTGAAGAACTCAGATAACCACACTTTCCCAAATCTTAAGGCTGGCTTTTGTGGCACGGCCAAGATTTCTGATATCTCTCAGCGCTGTCGGGAGAAGAGATTTCTGAAAGCGTTATTATAGTTCTTGTTGAAGGCTGTGTAAATGAGCGGGTTGAAGAAGGAGTTGGAGTAGCCCAGCCAGAGGAAGACACTCTTCCATATTGGTGGAATGTGGCAGGAGCACAGCGGGGTGATGAGCTCGGTGAGAAAGAAAGGGATCCAGCACAGGACAAACACTCCGATGAGGATGCCCACCATCAGAGCTGCTCGCTTCTCTTTCTGCTCTCTCCACGTCTCGCTGTCGGTCTGGAATGACACCGTGGCATGGCGTACCGTGAACACCATCTGAGGCTGTTGCCTGGAGGCCTCTTTCACCTGAGGGAACAGATGTGTCTTACTGTCATTACTGCTGTGAGTGGATCAGTCAGAAGCTAGATTTAGGTCAAATAAACCACGATATTTAGTTTTAAAACTAGAACACATAAAGGTAGTGTACATCCCTACAGGGTGTAATTTTATTCAGATTTTTTCAATAAAATTATTTATGCAATATTACACGTAGTCCTCATAGATAATTTGTGAGCCTCAGCAATGTACACTTACCATTTAAAAGTATAGGTGTTTTAGAAAGAAGTCTCTTACTCTCACCAAGGCTGCATTTATTTGATCAAAACTACAGTCATATTGTGAAATATTATTACAAATTAAAATAAATAAGTAATATATTTTAAAATGAAATGTATTCCTGTGATGAAAAATCTGAATTTACAGAAGTCATTACTATCACACGGTTCCTCAAAAATCATTTTAATATGCTCATTTGGCTCTGTCGTAAATATTTGTTATTAATATCTATGTTGAAAATAGTTACTGCTTAATAGTAACTGTTTGCGGAAAACATGATTATATTTTTTTCAGGATTATTTGTTGTATAGAAAGTTCAAAAGAGCAGTATTTATTTAAAATAGCAATATTGTGTAAAATTTTAAATGTCTTTACTGTCATTTTGATCAATGTAATGCATCCTTACCGAGTACAAGTATTCATTTACATAATACTGAAAAAAATCTTAGTGAACTTTTGAATGGAAGTGTTTATATAATTCTTAAATTATTTTATTACACTCATAATATAGATGAAAATAAACAAAAAACGAAAAGCAAAAGCTATTGAATCCAATAGAAAGATTTTGACCCTGCTTTTTTCCGAGTCATTCTTTCTAAGGTTACGATAACATAATATAAAAATGCATAGAACTATACAAGTATTCATTTACATAATACTGAAAAAAATCTTAGTGAACTTTTGAATGGAAGTGTTTATATAATTCTTAAATTATTTTATTACACTCATAATATAGATGAAAATAAACAAAAACGAAAAGCAAAAGCTATTGAATCCAATAGAAAGATTTTGACCCTGCTTTTTTCCGAGTCATTCTTTCTAAGGTTACGATAACATAATATAAAAATGCATAGAACTTTTGCAGTATTGGAATGGCCATGAAAATAGGCATTTCATCGTAAGCTTTTAAACACTTAAAGTTTCTGTGTCAAATTTTTGACAATCCTTCCTAAACCCACTGAAATAGAACAGGATGGTAATACAGTGGAAAATAATGCAGATCTTATCTAAGGGAGGTGTCAGGAATACTATTCGCTAAAGTGTTGTGACATGCTCAGAGATTATACCATGCTGTTCAAGGTAGAGCAACATAATGGGACATTCAAGTTCAATCGGCTATTGAATTGCTGTCAAGTAGGGCTGTCAAAATGACTGAAAAATTAAATTCGATTTTTTTACTTAAATGATCAAAATTCGAATTATATTTGAATTTAAAAGGCATAATTTCAGCTAGGGGAAAAAAAGCTTTTGGCCACAAGAGGGCGCATTGAGCAAAATATTATGCACGCTTCTTCAAAGCGTAATAAAATAACACGACTATCTTTGAAAAAAAGTGCATAATGTTTAAAATAATGTTTATAAACCATATATAATTAATAAAGTTGCTTAAACAATTAGAAAAAAACAGCACCATGCATGCATGTATAGTTTAATACAAAGGACCGAAAACCAATCACAAAGAGTAGGCTACTTTCTTCATTTAAAAACATGAGATACAGTGAGATGGGGAAAAACCTCTAGACATGTTTTTTAAAAGTTGAACTTGCATTAATTTTACATGGCTTTCTAAACATGCAGCTCTCTTGTGCGAGACGCGAGTGATAGATGTCCCTCTAGAAAATGAGATAAATATGCGTTCTTCTGTGTGAATGGCTTGGTTTCAGTTTTGACGTAAACAACATCTTCTCCACACTGATGCTCTCGTTTTCCGCAATATATTGAATGAACAATGTAGCAGTGCAACATCCAGTGCGTTCAACTGGATAGGCTAACAAAAGCATTCAAATGCAATCACATACATTGTCATCACATCTCGTGTGCCACTGATTAAGGCTGGCTGACGGCTGATGCAGACCTAAAATTCGAATGCACCGTTTTTGCATTCGAATGTGGATTTTTTTAAATTTATTTGACGAATATTCGAAATTCGTTTTTTTTGACAGCCCTACTGTCTAGTAACATTCTGTAAAATAATGACAGGTAAAATAGGAACAGTCTGATCTGAAACAATAAATTACATTCAGCAATCTTGAGAAAAAAATGCTCTACACTGTATTAAAATGCCAGTACACTGGTGTGTGAGGGATAAATAACCTAAAAAGTTGCTAAAAAGAAAGCATATCGCAACATATCATCTGTACCTCTCCAGCCTCTGCAACTGGAGTGATGGTGTTGGTCCTCTTTGATCCAATACGGAACTTAGCAGCTTTGTATATCTTCCAGTAGACAAACAGCACAACACAAAGAGGCAGATAGAAGGCCCCGAATGTGGAAAAGATGGTGTAAGACGGCTCCTGGCTCACCTGGCACTCCATGTCCTCCTCTGAATACGTCTCACCCCAGCCAAACAGAGGGGAGAGGGAAATAACAGACGACAGCAGCCAGGTCAAGCCGATCATCACATTGGAGATCTTCTTTCGGGTCTTCAGCGTGTACTCCAGGTGGCGAGTTATGGACCAGTAACGGTCGAGGGCTATTGCGGTCACGTTCCAAATGCTGGCTGTACAGCACAGGACGTCAAAGGATATCCAGACTTGGCAGAGAACTTGGCCCAACTTCCATCGACGACCGTTCAGCTCATGGACTAGACTGAGAGGCATCACCAAAGCAGCCACCATAACATCAGATATAGCCATGGAGGCCACCAGATTGTGGGGCACGCGGTGGAACGTTCTGACTCTGAGAATTGTGACTAGGACGAGCATGTTCCAGAAAAATGTAGCCACCATAAGCATGGCCAGCAGGGTGAACGTCAAGACGCTGAACACTGTCTGTGGTCTGTAGACATTTCCATATTCTGAGCTCTGATTAAAGGAGCTGTTCTGGATGACATCAGCCATGTTATTGAGTGCTCTTTTGTCCGCTTTACACCACTTACACAATAACAAGAAAGATCTTCACTGGACTGCAACAGCTGTAAAAATGAGAAAAAGGACATTTACAAAAATTCAGCTTCTACAGATATTCAGTGCTGTCAACTGGAATAAAATAGTATCACTATAGTATAGTATCCAGGCTACAATGAAACACTTTAAAACCTAGAGACAATGGAAAATGCTTTGAAAATGTAATGGAAAGAGAACTTCTTTTACCTGAACTTGACACACATTTTAAAAATCCAGTGCTCAAGCTTATTCACAGAATTAGTCTAGAGTCCTTTTTTTAATTCACTTTTTTACGGCTCCTGGCTCACCTGGCACTCCATGTCCTCCTCTGAATACGTCTCACCCCAGCCAAACAGAGGGGAGAGGGAAATAACAGACGACAGCAGCCAGGTCAAGCCGATCATCACATTGGAGATCTTCTTTCGGGTCTTCAGCGTGTACTCCAGGTGGCGAGTTATGGACCAGTAACGGTCGAGGGCTATTGCGGTCACGTTCCAAATGCTGGCTGTACAGCACAGGACGTCAAAGGATATCCAGACTTGGCAGAGAACTTGGCCCAACTTCCATCGACGACCGTTCAGCTCATGGACTAGACTGAGAGGCATCACCAAAGCAGCCACCATAACATCAGATATAGCCATGGAGGCCACCAGATTGTGGGGCACGCGGTGGAACGTTCTGACTCTGAGAATTGTGACTAGGACGAGCATGTTCCAGAAAAATGTAGCCACCATAAGCATGGCCAGCAGGGTGAACGTCAAGACGCTGAACACTGTCTGTGGTCTGTAGACATTTCCATATTCTGAGCTCTGATTAAAGGAGCTGTTCTGGATGACATCAGCCATGTTATTGAGTGCTCTTTTGTCCGCTTTACACCACTTACACAATAACAAGAAAGATCTTCACTGGACTGCAACAGCTGTAAAAATGAGAAAAAGGACATTTACAAAAATTCAGCTTCTACAGATATTCAGTGCTGTCAACTGGAATAAAATAGTATCACTATAGTATAGTATCCAGGCTACAATGAAACACTTTAAAACCTAGAGACAATGGAAAATGCTTTGAAAATGTAATGGAAAGAGAACTTCTTTTACCTGAACTTGACACACATTTTAAAAATCCAGTGCTCAAGCTTATTCACAGAATTAGTCTAGAGTCCTTTTTTTAATTTGAGAGGCATCACCAAAGCAGCCACCATAACATCAGATATAGCCATGGAGGCCACCAGATTGTGGGGCACGCGGTGGAACGTTCTGACTCTGAGAATTGTGACTAGGACGAGCATGTTCCAGAAAAATGTAGCCACCATAAGCATGGCCAGCAGGGTGAACGTCAAGACGCTGAACACTGTCTGTGGTCTGTAGACATTTCCATATTCTGAGCTCTGATTAAAGGAGCTGTTCTGGATGACATCAGCCATGTTATTGAGTGCTCTTTTGTCCGCTTTACACCACTTACACAATAACAAGAAAGATCTTCACTGGACTGCAACAGCTGTAAAAATGAGAAAAAGGACATTTACAAAAATTCAGCTTCTACAGATATTCAGTGCTGTCAACTGGAATAAAATAGTATCACTATAGTATAGTATCCAGGCTACAATGAAACACTTTAAAACCTAGAGACAATGGAAAATGCTTTGAAAATGTAATGGAAAGAGAACTTCTTTTACCTGAACTTGACACACATTTTAAAAATCCAGTGCTCAAGCTTATTCACAGAATTAGTCTAGAGTCCTTTTTTTAATTCACTTTTTTATTAGGGGGTGTTTACATGACACTGTATTCAACTAAGAACTGAACATTTTGGTTGTTTATTTACACAACAAATGTGTTTTGGGAACCTGAAAATGCTAACTTTTGAAAACGGGAGTCAAAGTGCAAGTTTTTGAAAATGATACTTATCGTCTACGAAACTGCGCAAATGCTCATTTGTGTAAACGGTTACGTCATACACATGCTTATTACATGTTCTGTCTAAACAAATTCATATGTGCGCATGTGCATAATGTTTCTTTACAAAGTAATATCGCCAACTACTGCCTTGGCAAGCATAATACAACGTATTTAATTGTTTTTGTGGATCCATGTGGTATCATTGTCATCAACATTGTCATTTGTACGTGAAACTTTGCAAAAATGCAAAGAAAACTTTTAAAGTTTTAGTGCAATCTTTGTTGCGTAAACTACTGTACACTCTAAAAAATGCTGGGTTAAATACAACCCAGTGCTGGGTAAAATAGGGACAAACCCAGCAATTGGGTTGTTTTGACCCAGTGGTTGGGTTAAATGTTTAACCCAACCTTCTGGGTAGTAACCCAACCGCTGAATGGCACTGTTCCCGGAGAATAACCCAGTGCTATATGGGTGACTCGATAGAGATGTATTGTTGCAATGCTGCAATTCAGAAGAACAGAATGTTCAGAAGGGAAATCTGTCTGTTATTAGGTGTAACGCTGTCCTGAAACTGCTGTCCTAGAACTGCTGTCCTGAAACTGTGGTCCTGAAACTGCTGTCCTCAAACTGTGGTCCTGAAACTGCGGTCCTAGAACTGCTGTCCTGAAAGTGTGGTCCTGAAACTGTTGTCCTGAAACTGCTGTCCTGAAGCTGCGGTCTACAGATATTCAGTGCTGTCAACTGGAATAAAATAGTATCACTATAGTATAGTATCCAGGCTTTAATAAAACACTTTAAAACCCAGAGACAATGGAAAATGCTTTGAAAATGTAATGGAAAGAGAACGTCTTTTACCTGAACTTGACCCACATTTTAAAAACCCAGTGCTCAAGCATATTCACAGAATTAGTCTAGAGTCCTTTTTTTGATTAACTTTTTTATTAGGGGGTGTTTACATGACACTGTATTCAACTAAGAACTGAACATTTTGGTTGTTTATTTACACAACAAATGTGTTTTGGGAACCTGAAAATGCTAACTTTTGAAAACGGGTGTCAAAGTGCAAGTTTTTGAAAATGATACTTATCGTCTACGAAACTGCGAAAATGCTAATTTGTGTAAACGGTTACGTCATACACATGCTTATTACATGTTCTGTCTAAACAAATTCATATGTGCGCATGTGCATAATGTTTCTTTACAAAGTAATATCGCCAACTACTGCCTTGGCAAGCATAATACAACGTATTTAATTGTTTTTGTGGATCCATGTGGTATCATTGTCATCAACATTGTCATTTGTACGTGAAACTTTGCAAAAATGCAAAGAAAACTTTTAAAGTTTTAGTGCAATCTTTGTTGCGTAAACTACTGTATACTCTAAAAAATGCTGAGTTAAATACAACCCAGTGCGGGGGAAAATAGGGACAAACCCAGCAATTGGGTTGTTTTGACCCAGTGGTTGGGTTAAATGTTTAACCCAACCTTCTGG